AAGTAATGCAAGAGATAAAGATCACTACCATGCTTTAGATAATTTGGTAACTAGAGATGAAACATAATAAGCCAAAATTAAAAGAATGAACGTATATCACTTACCCAAGGTGCACCGCACTATCTCAACATAGGCACATAATGAAGGATGCCTGATCCTCTTGATTTTTTCAAATCGACCCAGCATCCTAATGCTCGATGAAATCACTGGCAAACCATTGGCGCATGTCCGACGACCCTCTTCAATCCCCAACAGTACAACTGCCCCAAAACCGGCATTCTCCAAAGATCTCATCTGAAAATAATACTACGTTTGTTTTTTAGATCTTACTAAAGGTAAGCAAATACCTTGAGATAAATAAGGAGTCCATAAGGTTGATAGATCTTTAGCCAGCCTCCTTTCACTGATCCAAATCAAGTTATTGCAGTCTACAACAACACATTAGATCATGAGCTCATAAGAAAATGCCCAGAATAAAAGTGGAGTCATAAGTAAAAAAACAATACAATTCATCGAGTACGAAGAGATGCAGAATGAGCCTCATGTCGCTCACTGCGACGATTATATAAACAATAACAAGGTTCAATTACACTCGCATTGTCATCTCAGCACTCCCCAAACACTGCAATTTCTGCGGAATTGTACCGACCATGCAAGAGATGCTCCGTCAACGGCGTTGCAAGATACAGTATTGGAGCGCGCTAATAAGATATTTCTTCATGATTAGATGTTAAAGTATTTGGCATAATCAAATCTTCAAGCATTACTCAACACTGTGCTTTCTGTAGAGCTTTACAATGCAACGCAATTTAAATGCCGTTACCAACTTGCGCAAGGAAGTAAGCCTTCGTTAAGCGGTATAGAGACGACATACTTCTTATGGCTTATCGGCTTGGCTCAAACTTTGGATCGTTCAAGCGGCAGTCGCTGCTTCTAGAAAACAAACAAAGCAGAACATATTCAAGTAGGTTTCCAAACATTGGTTACCAAAAAAGAGGAAAACTACAATTGTCTCGATATTTATGGCAACTCACGCGTGATTCAAAGATAGGCTAAAAAAGTTTACACGAAGCACTGTTCACCTCGAAACTCAGTTCAGTGCAATATACCATTAAAAAATAAAGCTTAGATTCCGGCAAAAATTAAATATGTCCGGCCCACAACTCAAATTAGGCGATTGAGGCCGTATTCGCACAC